TCAACTCAAAAAGTTAACCTCACATTTATATATATTGATTTGCATTACAGTCATTTAGACAATAATTTGTTGGTTGTTTCTGAATAATCATATGAGACAGGGAAGAATTAATAAGAATTCCATAAGATAAATAAACATGATCAATTGAGCTCTGCTACGACATCTCCGATGGTTAACGTAGAAATTAAATGACCTAAAAGTAGAAAATGAGAAGAGTTGTGGAGAGGAAAAGCATTGAACATAACTTCAGTGGCTTTCATACCCTTCTCAATTTGCAAACTCAGAATGTTGCGGCCTTAAGAACATTGAACAATGTTCAATGGTTCGGCCAAGAGATATTTGTTTTCATACTATAGCATGATTGTGCTGGACATTGAGCAATGTTCTGTTTTTGAGGGAGAAAAAGAGAATAACTAATCATGGTTTTTTCTTCCAAGCTTGGAAATTGAACTCAAAGTACTAGAAATCACAATATAATTCTTTCTTATTGATCACAATATTCTAGCATTCTCTTAAACTCTGTTACAAAAACAAAACAACATCCATCCTAATCACAGTAACATTAAAAGGAAAGCAACACATCAAATCTTCACATCGTTTTCCTAAAACTCATTTGAGTCCCCTTTTGCAACGAGTGTATAAAGTGCAGGGCCGATTACCATTACCGATTGGTTTTATGCAATTTCCATATATATTTGCATTGCAGATAGGTGGTTTCTCCAAACCTCGATATGAAATATACTGAGGCTGATATCCTGCAAGAATCCTCTGGTTGATTTCGGATCTCTCGAAGAACACTTCTTCTTCTTCACCTTCAATGTATTCAGCAATTGTTTCATCATATGTTGTAGTATTTGTTTTGCTTTCAGGAAGGATTGCTCTGGCCAGACTTGTGCTGAATAGTATTAAAAGCAACGAAGCTAAAGAGAACATTGGAAAAAATCCCATTGATCCTGTTTTCATCTCTCTCTTTCTTTCTTTTCTCTTTATTCAACTTAATTTCAGAGTAGAACAGATTAGCTATAAAAGCCTAAAACAAAGGATCAGCATGAAAGGGTATCATTTCATTGGTTGGCTAGGGTCTTGCGTATGGGAGACGAATTTGCTCTTTCATTTTTTTCTTTGTAGGAAGAAAATGACAGCTTTTTTATTGACTCGGTCAAGATAATTTTATCTTAAAATGAAATTCGGTGTAAATTAAAATTACGTTTAACTCTGTTGTATAATCAGTTTTGAAAAATAATTTTTTGATAAATTTAAAATTCAAAATTTAACATTTACAATTTTTTTCTATCTTCCAACAAGCAACCGTTTTTATAAAAAAATAAATAAAATAACAATTTTCTTATAGCTAAAAACGAATTCACGTAAAACAAGGTTCATTGAAAGTTGACTTTTCTCTCAGGTCTTGCCATTTTCTGTTGGCTTTTAGTAAACTTTTCTACTGACTTGTCAACTTCCCTATCATTTTCTGCCAACAAGGTGAATGAAAATTAGCCATCACTCAGCGTCAAAAGTAAAAAAATTATCTCTCAAAGGAAAAAAAAAAGCAAGGAGTTGCGCTGGCATCAACTCAGGAAAAATTTGAAGCCCACCGATAATAACCAAATTACGTATCTTCAGCGTCAAAATATTTTTCTAGAGTCCTAATTCATACACCCAATCTCAAATAATTAAGGGATAGAATTTACATAATTGGATGGATCTATATAGCCAACAGTTGCGTGCAGCGTATCAATGGAATTTTAAATTTTTAATTTAATAAATAAAATTTAAAATTAAATAATTTTAAATATATAAAAAATATTAATATAAATATAATACATACACGACAAATCTTTAATTCAAATATAAATGCATATATTTTTTCTTCAAATTAAATGTTTGGATTCAAATATTTTTCTTAACAAAAAAACAAACATATATAAAATTAAGTACATATTTAGCACTCATCTTAGATTCAATCAAAACACTACAATATTAAGATGTCATCAAATTTACATAGAAAATTACTCAAACACAGATGAAATAACTAATACAAGGTTGACAATCTTGAGAGAAACTGATCAAGCTAGGATAATCATATTTGCAATGATGAAGCAAGAGAGAGAACGATTACTGGCCTCGCTTGCATCGAGTATACAGGGTACAAGGCCGATTGGACGGACCGACAGGTACTATACAATTGCCATAGATGTTACCATTACAAATGCGAGGCCTCTGAAGAGCTCCATAACATACGTGACGTTCTTGGAGGAAGCGTTTAGGCAAGTGATTTTCTCTGCTTAGATTTAGGCTGCAATCTTCAGTAATGGTGCCATTGCATAGGCTGATGACAGTACTGTTGCGATCTGAAAAGTTAGAAGTTTCAAAGGCATGTATAGGAAATAGAAGAGCTGAGATCATTGCCAGAGAAACATAGATAATTCCTCTATTGAAATCATTTCCCATTGTTTTTTTTTTCTTTTTGGATAATTGCATATGCTTCTATGAAGCTAGTCATCCACTTGATTAATACTTCAGTTTTTTATGACTTTATTCCTTTCCTTTTTCTTTTGGGCATCTGCTTTTATTTCCACTAAGTTACTTTAATTAAGATTTGTATCAACTTTGCTTTAATAAAGTAGACCGATAACATGAGAAAACAAGGGGGCATTTAATTTATAATTTTATAATTATTTAATCATAATAAAAAATCATATAAAGATTTACTACTTTGATGAATTTCACATTTTTTAAATTATGATTAATTAATTATAATGATCATAAGTAATATGTTTTTATAAAAAAATAAATAAATTTTTAGGCTATAAACATCGTTGACTTGGCCATTTGAACATTGAGTATATAGCGAAACAATACAAACAACGAAGCTTCTAGGAACCCACAAATATAGGTAGATTTCATAAATTTGCAATAGTGTTACCCACGATATTAATGCATATCATGTCAACATATGTCTCTTTTATTAGAAAAAAGTTCATTCTTTTTAAAGTTAGCATAGAGTTATAAAAAGAAGAAATTAAATCTAAGATTTTACCGATAGAAAAATGGAAAAAAGTGAAGATGTACAATTTATTAATTTAATAATTAAAATTTAAAATCATTTTTTATTTTATAACTTAATCTTTAAATTAATAAATATTTTATCTTTAATTTTTTCCAATCTTCCTATTAAGCAAAGCCTGAATTCATTTTAGAAAAGAAAAATATTTATACTTTGAACGAAAATCTTATGCATCACCAATTTACGACGAACTATGTTTAACGGTGTCCTCACTACGAAAGCCCCACCAAGCTTACGCCAAACATATCGCCACTACATCACCACTTTCTTCCAAGGAACACTTGTTACATCTGCTACCTTCACCAACTTGTAGAGTAAAACGCCAAATTTAACTAACCTTTAGCTTTTGTTGAATTGACCTATATTCTCACCGTATCGGTGAGGTTATTTCAGGATTTGTCTCAAAGCTTAAATCATCAAAAGAAAAAAAACTTTTTTTTCTAATTTTAAAATCTTCACTATCAATATTGTTAGATATTTATCTTAAAAAGTCAAGAAAAAAACAAAGAAGTTAGGTTAGGTACGAAAAAGAAAAGCATTCTCCGTGTTTCCACACTGTTACACCGTTTGTCTTCTTTAGCATATCCTTCTTCTTTATTAATGATAGATGGATGATAATGAAAGGTACCAACTCAATTTAGAACATAGTGAAGCTTCTCGGAAGGTCGCTGCTATAAAATAAATTGCTTTTGTAATCATCCTTTTGCTAATAATAATCTTTGTTGAATATTTGTTTCAGAATTATGTACTCTTTTTTCTGAAATACCTATTTCATTTTTTTTTTATTTTTGTACATTTTAACTTTATTTTTCATAATAACATTTTAAAATTTTTTATATTTTAATATAAATTACATGAAAATCAAACGGAAATAAAGAATGAAATACAAAGGAAAAGGAACCGTTACTAATTAATCATTCTATTTAGATGAGGTTTTTGGATGAAAATTTTCATTTCAATCAAGATTTTTTAAAATTTAAAAACAAATTTACTTATTTGACAAAAAAAATAAGATAAAATTTTAAAATTTAAGTGGAATTTCAAAAGAAAATTTGAGGTAATCAAATTCCCTCTTAACATTCCACTAAAAAAAGTGATTTTTCAAAATTTTTTCAAATCTTCTCTATTTATTGCATATGACCCATCATAAAATATAAAATTCAAAAAAATAAATATAATTTTATTTGTTTATAATATATATTTTTATTTTTATATTATTAGTAATATCTATATATTTTTATAAATATAATAAATACCCATATTTCATTTTTTATTTATACATATATTTTTTATCTTTAATGTCATTATTCTTTTTTATAATAATTTTTTTATCTCATCAAATTCTAATAAATTAAGTTTGTTTCTGAGAAATATTTACCCAAACAAAATAATTACACAAGTTAGCGTTTTAAAATAATACATTTTAAAATACTTTTATTTCCATTATTTTCAAAATTTTAAAATTCTCTATGCAAATGCATTGCAGTTGTTTTAGGTTGAGTCCAATAGCTAAATTAGACCAAGTACCCAAGGCCCAAACTAATATGATACTCTTTACGCAGAAAGCCAGAAACAATGGTGGCTCGATTATTGCCCAACGAAATGCTCCGAGTCCCAAATATTTCTCTTCTCTTTTACGTTTGTGGTTCAATGATTTCAATCAATGGGCTTTGGCCCAATTGAGAAGATTAATTTGAATAGTTGCTTTGGATTTTGGCGAGTTTAACTTTCTAACACTGCGGAGGAACAATTTTTTAGTGTGCTACAGTTGTGTTATACGATTTGACCTTCAAAAAATCAATTAGGCTTTTGTGGAATTCACTTTAATTTGCTATTTTTTTTTTTCTGATTGTCTTATATGCAAAAGTTGCCAATAGTTGTCAGAGTTGTAGTACTATTTAATTTATGAATTATTGAGTTCTTTCTATAATTATGAAACATCATGACTCGATGCAAATTCAATTCAAAACAAAGAAAGAAAAAGAAAAACGGTCTAGCAACGGTCCAAGAAGCGAAAGTGGGGCATGAAGACTGAAAATTTCTGTGCATGCAGCCGAAGACTTTGAAAGTCTATGGCAGTATAATCAAAGTCTAAGATTCTCTTTTGTCATTGCATATAATCTTTTAGTAATTAATTTGGCTCTATTAACTCAGATTTCTCCGATATTTCCCCACAAACAAACAAACTGGTAAAAATGTTAGGCTTCTTCTTGGAATGATCATGGAATGATTGGTATCCGGGAATTGGAGTGAACGGAGGGGTAGGAAACTTTTGTTTTTTATCTTCCAGGTTTTGATCGGCCTGATTGAAAGCAAATTCAGTTGCTTGAGACTCCTGATTGTCACAAAGCCTAACTTCTCTACAAGAAGAAACAGTTTCAGCATTGAATCCAATGTTAATCTTTGTCATCTACCTCATCTCTTTTCTCCCTCTTCTCCTCTCCATCGCCGCTGTCCAAAACTCACCTCCATACTCTCGTACAGATTTCATACTCCTTGATTGTGGTGAACTGTCGAACACAACTTCATTAGATGGCCGTAGCTGGGATGCCGATTCTGATCACTCCAAATTTTCTGCTTCTACCAGAGAAAATGCTTCTTTTGTTTCCAAAGCCTCCAACCAGGATCCCTCTGTCACCGGAATTCCATACATGACTGCACGTATATTTCGCTCAGAATTCACCTACAACTTCCCTGTATTACCTGGCCCAAAATTTCTTCGTCTGTACTTCTATTCAGCTGAATATCCTGGCCTTAATATCTCCACTTCTTTCTTCTCTGCCACCGCCAATAATTATACTCTCTTGAGCAATTTCAGTGCCTATTTAACAGCTTCGGCTACAAAGCCTCCAAGTCACTATTTCGTCAAAGAATTTATAATCACTGTATGGGACAACCAGAGGCTGAGCCTAACCTTTATTCCATCTCCCAACTCTTACGCTTTTATTAATGGAGTCGAAATTGTTTCCATGCCAAGCAGCCTCTACATGGGTGGCGATGATAACCATCCGACTTTAGTTGGCTCTGGCTCTTCCTTTCCTTTGCAAAATACAACAAATCTTGAGACTTTTTATCGGCTAAATGTTGGGGGACAAGAGATCAGAAACACAGAAGATACCGGCATGTATCGAACATGGCGTCAAGATGACGGTTATATCTATGGGGGAGCACTTGGGACTGTTCAATCTTTCCTTAATGATCCAATCAAATACACGCCAAAGACGCCGGCTTACACTGCGCCAGTGAATGTTTATGCCACTGAGCGTACCATGGATAGAGATTCTCACATTAATCTTAACTATAACCTCACTTGGATCTTCCCTGTTGATGTTCACTTCTATTACCTTGTTAGGTTGCATTTTTGTGAGAATCCCAACATCACTAAAGCAAATCAACGTGTGTTCAGTATATTTATTAACAATCAGACTGCCGAAAGAGAATTAGATGTGTTTAAATGGACCGGTGGCTCTGGGATTCCTAGGTATGAAGACTACGTTGTATTTGCTACAAAGAAGGAACTCTGGCTAGCTTTGCACCCTAACATGCGTTCAACTCCAACCTATGCTGATGCCATCTTGAACGGGATAGAGATTTTGAAGCTAAACAATTCTCAAGGCATCCTGGCAGGGCCTAATCCAGACCCATTGGAAACCCCTATATCTCCTGAACAGAACCCCAGTTTACAGAATAGTTCAGGAAATAAGAAATTCTCAACAATTTTATCGATCCTTGGAGCTGTTCTTGGTGCTATAATTCTCCTATCTCTTCTCTTGGGTTGCTTTATTTTCCAAAGAAAAAGAAGAGTTAAGGACTCAATTTCTGTCCCCGCAGAGTTTGCTAAACCTGAAGAGACTTCCTCTTTACTCCCCTCAGATCTCTGCCGTCGCTTCTCAATCACTGAAATCAAAGAAGCCACTCATAATTTCGATGAACAATTTCTGATAGGCCATGGAGGATTTGGCAATGTCTACAAAGGGTTCATCGATGGTGGTGCCACCACCATAGCAATCAAACGGCTAAACCCATCATCAAAACAAGGAGTCCACGAATTCCAAACGGAAATTGCAATGCTATCTCAACTCAGGCATCTCCATCTTGTGTCTTTGATTGGCTACTGTAATGATCAAGGTGAGATGATACTTGTATACGAGTACATGGCCCATGGTACTCTCCGTGATCATCTTTACAAAACCAACAATCCTCCTTTGTCATGGAAGTTAAGGCTTGAAATTTGCCTTGGAGCTGCCCGTGGTTTGCAATATCTTCATAGTGATGCAAAGCAATGTATCATACACCGGGATGTGAAATCGTCCAACATTTTGTTGGACGAGAATTACGTTGCTAAAGTTTCGGATTTTGGCTTGTCTAAATTGGGCCCTACAAGCGTGTCTCAAACCCACGTCAGTACCGTGGTAAAGGGTAGCTTCGGGTACTTGGATCCAGAATACTATCGTCGGCAGCAACTCACCGAAAAATCTGATGTGTATTCATTTGGTGTGGTGTTGTTTGAGACACTATGTGCAAGGCCGCCCGTGGTCCAAAACTTGCCAAAGCAGCAAATCAGCTTGGCAAACTGGGGTCGAATTTGTTGTCAAAGGGGTACTCTTGATCAAATTATAGACCCATGTTTGACAGGTGAGATTGCAGCTGAGGGCTTGAAAAAGTTCGGTGAGATTGCTGAGAGTTGTGTGAGTGATGAAGCAATTAAAAGGCCAACAATGAGTGATGTAGTTTGGAGCCTAGAATTTGTATTGCAGCTTCAAGAGACCGCGGAGAAGAACAATGATGGGATGAAGAAAGTGAAGAAAAGTGAGGTGAAAGAGGTTGTTTCCACGGATGATGAAATATTTAGTGGGTCAGGTGAACAAGCTTCCAAATCAACGAGCACCCTGTTTTGTGAGGGACATAGTATTTCTCTAGGTGATGAGTTTAGTATATGACAAGCTCTAAAAATTATGTTCTCTAAGAGTTCGGATTAAAAGGATGGCCAATGTCAATTAGATATAGTTGTTATATTATGCTTATTTTTAATGAAAGTTGAATTATACTTTAAAATTGTAAATATTTCGTTCCAAAATAAATTTTAAAGCATTGGTTCAATTTGATTTCTCATATTATATATATGAATTTCAAGAATAAAAGTAACTTAATAAATGGAAACTAGTAAGTAATATTGCTCAAGTTGTTCATAAATTTCATACCGAATTTGAAAATGAATGTATGGCGATGAATTTACTCTTTTCACAACACGAGAATAGAGTTTTACAGCCAGTATTATTCAGTTGGTTTTAAAGAACCGCCTCCAAAACCTAAAATTAAAATTATACTAAAACCAATTGACTTATGTTTGGAGAAAAGAATACCAAGTTTTTTCATCAGGTAATTAACCATAGGAGGCAAATGAATAAAGTTTTGACATTTAAAGATGGTAATGGGGATTGGATGGAGGACGAGGCTAGCATTATAAAGAGATTTTACTGATTTCTATAAATCTTCTTATCAAAATGGAAGCAGGGATTGGACGATTGTGTATTTTATGTTTCTCGTCTGGTGAATTCTGATATGAATTGGAAATTGCTTAGAGAACTGCAAGACAAGAAAGATTGGGAAGCTGTTATTCGATTGGGTGCAATTAAGGCTCCTGGCCCGGATGGATTCAATGGTTTTTTCTATAAGAATATTTGGAGGTGGTTAACGGTGATGTGCTGAACACTGTTAAGAGCTTCTGTCATAGTGGCAGATAGCTAAAAGAGCTTAAGCATGTCAATAGACTAAAGGAAAGTTTTTTGGATTCCAAGGTTTCATTTGGCGAAACGTACAGCTAATTGAGCCGCAGATTGGATGGCAAAACAAGCAATCAGGAATGAGCCTTGATAGTTGGATGAGACAACCCCCATCCCTCATTTGTGCATAATCTGGATAAGGAGCTTTTTCCCCTACTGAGGCTCTTATAAATTTTTATTCTCGAAATAAAGTTAATTTATACTTATTTCCTAAAATAAGACGCTTATAATAAAAGAGTGCCATGTCATCACTATCATCACATTTTTCCTTCTTCACTCCTCTTTCAATTATCATAAAAGCTAATGCATGAATCATTTCAAGAAACATTGAAGAGAATAAACAAAAAAAAAAAAAGGTTACCATTTATCTAATTTTTTTGGTAATGAAATGAGAGTATAATCCATTTCTAAGACTTGAAGAAAATTGAAAGGTTGATTAAAAGTGTCGTAACGATTTTGTGTCCGTCCAACGAATTTGAAATGAAATAAAAATAATGGAGTCGTCACCAATCTTTTTTTTGCTAGGTGCGATTGGTCACTTACTAAAACATATCATTTTAATAAAGTTTTAAAATTAATTAAAATTTATTAAAAAAAATTTTATGGTCTGCGAAACAGTCTGGGTTCAGGAGTTGGTTATGCGTGGGGAAAGATTAGTACCCCTATAGCACCCGTTAAAAATAGTACCAATTAACAACGTGTTATCCTTTGATTTTGATAAAAATAGTTCAATTTTTTATGTTCGAAAAATAATTCCCTTGATTTTTATTTATTAGAAAAAAAAATTTATTCTCGTGAAAAATAAATGAAAAACTTTTTATTGAAATAATTTTTAAAATATTTCAGTACGTTGACAACATTAGAAGAACTTTTTCTCACCTATAGATTTCTTAGGCATTGCTTCTCAAAATACCTTAGAATCTCATCTTCGGGGGCTCAAATTTACTTTTCGTAAAAATGTCATGAATGCAATGCAAAATGTTACCATGTTAATACACACATTTTATTTTCCTTTGTTAGAAATTTTATTAATTATTTTATTAATATTCTTATTTAAAATTTTGAAGAAAAATGAAATTTTCATTATATTGAAGATTTTCTATAAATATTCTAATACACTGGTAATATTTTACAAAAAATCTTCTCACCTAAAGATTTCTTAAAGCATCTCTACTCGGAATACTTTTAGAATCCCGTTATCGGATAAAAAAATTTTTTTCTCATTTTTATTACTTATATTTTTAATATATTAATCAATTTTTATTTATTACTAAAAAAAAAATTTTACTGTATTAAAATTTTTTTATAAATACTCCAATACACTAGTAGTATTTTTAAAAAATCTTCTAACCTGAAGATTTTGTGGCATCACTACTCGGAATACCTTTGAATATCGTCGTCGGATAAAACTTTCATTTTCCTACATTTTTTATTAGTTTAGTATTATTATTAAATTTATTTTTATATTATTTTGTTTTTAAAGTTTATTTTAAAAATTAACAAAATTATAAAAAAAATTTAATCACATATTTCATCATTTAATCTAACAAATATAAATATTTTAATATGCATAAATATTAATAAAATAATATATAAAAAATAAAAAAAAAATTTTACCTGAACTGGACCTTTCAACGGTCCAATCAACACGTGGTTCGGTTCGATGGTTCGATCTAACGGTTTGGCTCTGTCTGGGCACGGTCTGAGTGGCTTAGCGGTTGAGTACTAGTTCGGTTTCGGTTCAGTCAGACCGGTCAGAGGCTGATGAAAGAAGTGGGTGGCGGGTTGATACGTTGATCTTGGGTGCTTAAAACGACGTCATTTTGGGCGTTTATTGAAATGACGTCGTTTTGGCTATTGACAGCTTATATAAAAGTTAAAAAAAAAAATTTCATTCATTTCTTTCGTTGTAAAAAAAAAAACCTTTCTTTTTTTTTTCCTTCTTCTTCAGCCAAACGCAGTGCCAGCCGATCGCTGTCACCGCCACCATCGCCGTCATTCGTCGATCACCCGCTGCCATCGTCGGTGTCGAAAAATTATCAAAAAACACCAAAATGTTCCCTCGACCTCCTGAGTTCAAATCTGAGGTCCTTTTCACCAAAAAGAGTCTCCACTTCCCTAGATTTGCTTTTAAAGTTTTGGTGAGACTATTTTTTATTTGTATTCTGACTTTTTTTTTGGAAAACTGACCTTTTTTTTTTTTGTGCAGAAAGCTCGACGTTGGGTTTCTCCCTACAGGGAGGATTGTGTATTTTTTTTGCAGTGTTTTTTTTCCTTTCATTTTTGCAGCATCTCCCCTCCTTTTCTTTATCTCTGTTTTTTATCCGATCATGAGCTCTATTTATAGAGCTCTGGCATTGCCCTGCGCCTAAAGGAACGGCACAAGGCTAGGCATAGGGGTGCAAGCACGAGCCTCATGCCTCTTTTATTTTTTTTGGCAATATCTGGCAATGGTAGAGGATGGTTGGTAGGGCATGGTGGTCAGAGGGGTGGAGGGTAGGGCATGGTGATCAGAAATGTAGGGTGTAGGGTCTGGTGGCAGTGGTGCCTGAAGGCACTACTGCCACCATCGATTTTTCTATTTTGTTCTGTGTTTTTTTTTGTTTTGTATTTTTTTGTATTTTGTATTATTTTTTATATTTTTTTTGTATTTCATATTTTGTATTTTTTTTATATTTCATATTTTTTTTGGACAAATTGATGTCCACAGTTGCCCCTCTTTGCACATTGCTGATAATCAGTAATAGGACAAAGATAAAGACAACAATTTTGTCCGAAATCCAAACGAATTTTTTTTTAATCGAAAATGCTCCTCTCACTTGAGGCTCGACAACTTTTGAGAATTTAAATTTTGAAAAAGACTCCTCTCAGCAGAAGCTCAACAACTTTAAAAATTTCATCTTGAAAAAAGTTCCTCTCAGCAGAGGCTCCACAACTTTAAAATCTCTTTTGGAAAAGCTCCTCTTAACATAGGCTCAACAACTTTAAAATCCATCTTGAAAAGGGCTCATCTCAGCCGAGGCTCAACAACTTTAAAATCTCATCTTGAAAAAGGCTCATCTCAGCAGAGGCTCAACGACTTTAAAAATTATCTTGAAAAAGTCTCCTCTCAGCAGAGGCTCAACGACTTTAAAAATCATCTTGAAAACGACTTTAAAAATCATCTTGAAAAGGACTCCTCTCAGCAGAGGCTTAATAACTTTAAAAATTATCTTGAAAAGGACTCATCTCAGCAGAGGCTCAATAACTTTAAAATCCATCTTGAAAAAGCTCATCTCAGTAGAGGCTCAACAACTTTAAAAATCTCATCTTGAAAAAGGCTCAATAGAGGCTCAACAACTTTAAAAATCTCATCTTGAAAAAGGCTCCTCTCAACAGAGGCTCAATAAATTTAAAATCTTGAAAAAGCTTCTCTCAGCAGAGGCTCAACAACTTTAAAAATTCTCACTTTGAAAAAAGCTCCTCTCAACTTTAAAAATCTCATCTTGGAAAAAGCTCATCTCAGTAGAGGCTCAACGACTTTAAAAATCATCTTGAAAAGGGCTCATCTCAGCAGAGGCTCAACAGTTTTAAAATTCATCTTGAAAAAGCTTATCTTAGCAGAGGCTCAACAACTTTAAAAATCTCATCTTGAAAAAAGCTCCTCTCAGCAAAGACTCAATGACTTTAAAATCTCTTTTGGAAAAGTTCCTCTCAGCAGAGGCTCAACAACTTTAAAATCTTGAAAAAGCTCATCTCAACAGATACTCAACAACTTTAAAAATCATCTTGAAAAAGGCTCCTCTCAGTAGAGACTCAACAACTTTAAAAATTCTCACCTTGAAAAAAGCTTATCTTAGCAGAGATCAATGACTTTAAAAATCATCTTGAAAAGGGCTTCTCTTAACAGAGGCTCAACAACTTTAAAAATCTCATCTTGAAAAAGGCTCTTCTCAGCAAAAGCTCAACAACTTTAAAAATTTTCATCTGTTCTTCAAATCGAGTTCTCATCTTTGAACAAGTAAATTTTTCTCTTTTGAAATCTTTTGTTTGATTTTATTTTTCATTAGAAAATAGAAAGTTTCTATCCTTATTAAAATTGTTCATGGATGCATGTACTGAGTGCTCTAAATGTAATGCATGTAATGCAATCAAAATTATTCATTGTATTAAAAAGGTTCTCGAAATCTCTCACTTTTGACTTCTTTTATCAGAATTTTTATACGACCAATCTATTCTTAACATCTGACAACAATATTTTTTTTTTCAAAAGTCTACAACATCAATGTCTTGTCATGTTTTTCTCATTCTTTTTCATTTACTTTT